CCCCTTCCTCTGCTCAACTGACCAGCCCCGAGCAAATCTGCTCCCTGCGTAGGGATGGACGGACGGGGATCACGGCGCCCCGGAGCGTGTCCTGGGCTCAGCACAATAGCTGGAGCTCCTGGCGTCGCTCACTCGGCGACAGGGCGTCGAACTCTCAAATCGTCCTCGGGGCTCTGCTCTGACCAGCGTGGGGGGAGTTTGAATATCTGGGGCGGTGAGACCGTGAGGGCGAAGGGGGGGCTGTATGGCACCATCGTAAAAACTGGAAATGTTTCACGACCATTTTATTAACCATAACTCATGTTTTAAAATCATCACAAAAATTAAAGTTGGCTAATTAAACGTGGCGCCCAGAACTGGACACAATACTCCAGCTGAGGCCTAATCAGCGCGGAGCAGAGAGGGAGAATGACTTCTCGTGTCTTGCTCACAACACACCTGCTAATACAGCCCAGAAGGATGTTTGCTTTTTGTGCAACAGCGTTACACTGTTGACTCATCTTTAGCTTGTGATCCACTCTGACCCCAGCTTCCTTTCCGCAGTACTCCTTCCTAGGCCGTCATTGCCCATTGCGTGTGTGCAACTGATTGTTCCTTCCGAAGTGGAGCACTTTGCATTTGTCCTGATTGAATTTCATCCTATTTACTTCAGACCATTTCTCCAGTGTGTCCAGCTCACTTCGGATTTTAATCCTATCCGTCAAAGCACTTGCAACCCCTCCCAGCTTGGTATCGTCCGCAGACTCTATCAGTGAACTCTCTATGCCATGATCTAAATCATTGATGAAGATATTGAACAGAAACAGACCCAGACCTGATCCCTGCGGGACCCCACTTGTTATGTCCTTCCAGCATGACTCTGAACAACTGATGACTACTCTCTGAGAACGGTTTTCCCACCAGTTTTGCACCCACCTTGTAGTAGCCGGCGTAGTGTAGACAAGCCCTATATTTGCCCTTTTCCAGTCTCTGGAATCTCTCCCGTCTTCCATGACTTTTCAAAGACAATCGCTAATGGCTCAGCTATCTCCTCAGTCAGCTCCCGGAGTATTCTCGGATGCATTTCATCAGGCCCTGGTGGTTTGAAGACATCTAAATTGTCTAAGTAATTTTTTCCTTGTTCTTTCCTATTTTAGACTCTGATCCTACCTCATTTTCACTGACATTCACTATGTTAGACGTCCAATCGCCACCAACCTTCTTGGTGAAAACCGAAACAAAGACGTCATTCAGCACCTCTGCCATTTCCACATTTTCTGTTATTGTCTTTCCCCCCTCACTGAGTAACGGGCCTCCGCTGTCCTTGGGCTTCCTCTTGCTTCTAATGTATTTGTAGAAAGTTTTCTTGTTTCCTTTTATGTCTCTAGCTAGTTTGATCTCATTTTGTGCCTCGGCCTTTCTAATTTTGTCCCTACAGACTTGTGTTATTTGTTTATATTCATCCTTTGTAATTTGACCGAGTTTCCACTTTTTGTAGGACTCTTTTTTGAGTTTCAGCTCATTGACAAGCTCCTGGTAAAGCCAGGCTGGTCTCTTGCCATCCTTCCTGTCTTTCCTACGCAGTGGGGTAGTTTGCTCTTGTGCCCTTAATAATGTCTCTTTGAAAAACTGCCAACTGTCTTCAATTGTTTTTCCCCTTAGACTTGCTTCCCATGGGATCTGACCTGCCAACTCCCTGAGTTTGCTACCGTCTGCCTTCTTGAATCGCCTTTTGACTGCGTTACCCAGGGCCGGCTCTAGGCACCAGCGCTCCAAGCATGTGCTTGGGACGGCACTTTCCAAGGGGCGGCACTCCGGCTCCTTTATTATTATTTTTTTGCTTGGGGCGCAAAAAGCCGGGAGCCGGCCCTGAGCAGAGGTGAGCTGAGGTGGTGGGGGGCGCGGGGGGGGCCGCAGGAAGTAACCCTGGGGGGGGCAGAGGAACCGCTCCCTCTCCCCAAGCTCACCTCCGCCTCCTCCCCTGAGTGCACCGCCGCTCCGCTTCTCCCCACTCCCTCCCAGGCTTGCCTGGGAGGGAGGGGTAGGAGGGGAAATGCGGCGTGCCCAGAGGAGGAGGCGGGGCTGGGGATTTGGGGAAGGGGTTGGAATGGGGCGGGGAAGGGGTGGAGTTGGGGCGCAGCCGGGGGGGGGGGGCACGGGAAAATTTTTTTGCTTGGGGTGGCAAAAAACTTGGAGCTGGCCCTGGCGTTACCGTAGTGTGTGCTACTCCCACGGGGGCTGTCGATACTGGGGACCCACTCCAGTCCCTTCCCAGGGCCTGACGGACCCACTCCATCCAGTAGCCGGTGAACGGGAACCCGGAAGGTTTGCAGGAGAGGCTTTTTCACATCCCCTCGGACTCCAGCAACCCCTGGGACCGGGCATCTGGGAATAAAGACGCATTACGGGGAACATTCGTATCGCAGGCATTGGTATAATAACCCCCGGCTTCCACAACCCATGGAAAGGGAGAAAATCCCTTCCCGAGCTGCTGCCGTGAGGACGAGATGTAACCAAAGCCTCCTTGTCGCTGGTGCTGGCGGGGAAAGTTCTCGGTGGACTGGCTGGTAACTGCACCGACCCAGGGTGCTGCGGATCGTCTCTCCGGGGGCAGCCTGGGCAGAGAGAGGGACAGATTTAAACAGGACTCTCTGACCGCCGTTGGCACATCCCCCCTCTTTAGAAAAGACACCCCGTATTTCCTAGCGCGAACTCAGGGTCTTTGTGTGAGGCTGGGAGAGAGGCACTGGGATCGCCCTTCTCACAGCCGGGCTCCTCGTAGGATCACGGTTGAGATTCCTCCCTGAATTCATGCAGGTCAAAATCACGTCTTCTGTAGCCCCTTCCCGGACTCCCAAACTCAGCCCGAACCCTAAGAGAAACTCTAACCCTGACATTGAATGTGTACCTTAAACCTCAAGTGAACTGTAACCCTAAAGGTAAATTCAAACCTTGACTTCAAATATTAGCCCTAACCCTACCTTTATAGCCTGACTGACCTCTCCCCGACCGGGGCCCCGCAGTGTCACCCCCAGGTCAGCTCCAGAGGGAGCTCCCTGCTCGCCTCGAGACCCTCATTTCTCCAGCCCAGGCCGGCGTTAGCCCGTTTGGCTCCAGCGTCGCGCAGGGGGCCCACATTTGGCTGATTCACCCCCATCGCTGCTCCCCAGCCCCCTGCTTTGTGTCTGGCCGACGCCCCTCACTCGGGTCGGTGCCGTGTGGCTGTATTCAAATGCCCACTGCCTCGGTTGTGAGTGCACACGCAGCATTCTAGACACACACCACTGCTCATGCCCAGTTACCCGCTGCCCCGGCGGGTTTCCCGCGCCCGCAGCCCACGCGGCTCTGGGCTTTTCTCAAAGCCTACAGCAGACACGCTAGTTATTTCACCTGGGAAATTGCAAAGGCGTTTCTGGCCTGTTCAGAGCTCACCCGTCGCTGGTTTTCCCTGAGACCGGCCCGAGCCAAAGCCAAACGGCCCCTCGGCGGGTGAAGCCGACCCGGTGCCGCGTGCGCGGCAGGTTCGGTCCGGACCCAAACGAGCCGTTTTCCGGAGAAACCAAGTGTTGGGTGTTTGTGTCGCTCGCTGCTGCGCTCCCGGGTTTAGCGCGTCACCCAGCCAGGCCGTTGTGGTGTGAGTGTGTGTGCAGTGCACACCGGTCAGGCTGGGTGTACCTACAGGCGGCAGGCTGTCTTTGGGTGTGTGCCTCAGGGAGGCTGTCCATGCACGCAGAAGTGAGTGACTGTGTATGTGTGTGAGAGGGGGATTCCTGTGTAGGTCTCACCCCCACTGCCCCCCTTCCCTCAGGCCCAGATTCCCCCCATCCAGCACCCACACGTGGTCCCATCGACCACCCCCACCGACCCCCCCACACAGAGCAGATCATGAGCCGAACCCCCAACCTCTGTAGCCTGACCCAAGGTTGGGTTCTTGTCCCAAGATCAGGCCCAGTAAGATTATTGTAAAATTATCATATAATTTGGGAACCCCGATGTGCACAGGTGCAACACTCACACCATAGGAACTCTTCATATATATATATATACAAATAAATGATTTATTAATAAATTAGCAAAGTTCGACACACACTTAAACTCAACAAGGCAGATAGAGCTAACACAGAAAGGACATTTGGACGTCCATCCTTACACCCTGCAATGTTAACCATGATCTTTCTCATCACCATCATCGTCCTCATCTTCCCCGGTGGCCGTCATTCTGGCCCCTCCCAAGGTCCGCATCTCTCCAGCCTCTCTGCTGCCCCCGGGATGTTACTTTTATAGTCGGTTACGCTGACGCTGCCATGACCAATGCCTAGTTGTATTTCCGCCCCTTAAGGTGTCCGTTTTCTATAGGTTAGTACAGGGGTCGGCAACCTTTCAGACGTGCTGTGCCGAGTCTTCATTTATTCACTCTCATTTAAGGTTTCACGTGCCAGTATGTTAATGTTTTTAGAAGGTCTCGTTCTCTAAGTCTATAATATAGAACTAAACTATTGTTGTATGTAAAGTAAATAAGGTTTTTAAAATGTTTAAGAAGCTTCATTTAAAATTCAATTAAAATGCAGAGCCCTCCGGACCGGTGGCCAGGACCCGGGCAGTGTGAGTGCCACCGAAAATCAGCTCACGTGCCGCCTTTGGCACACGTGCCATAGGTTGCCTACCCCTGGGTTAGTGTATGTCTGATGTTACCCTAGTAGCATACACGTCCGTTTGCTGTCATGGCACCTTTGCGGTCGGAGGTTCTGTCATTTCCAGATGCTGGCGTCAGCGACGTTCTGTGGGTGTCTCAGGGTGTTCTGCCCCCCCCCTCCAGGGCCTGGGTCCCCCCCGTCTCCAGCCAGGGGCCGTTGTGGTACCAGTTGCCCAATGGGGTCATTGCACCAGAGCGGCAGAAGCGGCTGCGTGGTGCAATCCGGCTGAGCAGCACGGTGCGGGGGGGGGGGCAGGGGTATAAATTAGAGGCTTCCCCCCCACACACACCCATAAGTGGCTGAGCCTCGCCCCCTCGCACACAGCTGCACGGATCCCAGGGAGTTTGCATCTCTCCGAGCCGGGCTCTCTGGGGCCATGGGGGGCCCTGGGGCGGGACGTGGGGCGCCGGCGGTGGCACTGCTGGCAGTCCTGGCTTCTGCTCTGCTGATCCCAGGTACCAACAGCCGGGATTCCCGGGCTCCCGGGGAGGGGAGGGGAGGGGAGGGGGGGCTGGTGGGTCAGAGCAGGGGGGCTGGGAGCCAGGACTCCTGGCTTCTCTGCGGGGGGAGGGATCTGGTGGGGTAGAGCAGGGGGGCTGGGAGCCCGGACTCCTGGGTTCTTTCCCTGGCTCTGGGAGGGGAGGGGGGGCCAGTGGTGAAAGCAGCAGGGGCGGGGGGGCGGGACTCCGGGGTGCTCTGGGGGGGGGGGGGGGGGGGGGGGGGGGGCTAGTGGATACAGCAGGAGGGGGCAGGGAGCCAGAACTCCCCCTGCCTAGCCCCTAGTGGGCATAACCTGCGGTATTATTGTTGCGCTGGCTCAGGCACCGCCTCGGTTGTGAGTGCACACGCAGCATTCTAGACACACCCCACTGCTCGCCTCTCACCCACCGCAACCACTAACACACAGAGGGACCCACAAACCATCCCGTGCACACAGCCCCACCACGGCACGCAGAGAAACACAATCTGACACACACAGCAGGGC